ATTAAGTTCATAATGCAAATCATGAGTTTGACTAGCTAAACAACAACAACCGGGCTATTTTTTTTTTTGTATCTTGCTTTTTCTCAATGATATATTTTTTAGATATATATTTTTTAAATTTATGTTTCAATTAATATCCCTCGTCTGTAATTTTTTTTGCTTATTTAACATTTTTTGGATAGAGAATGTTTTTTGCTGATGTTGTGCATATTTAATTTTTGAAAAGATTATTCTAATTCATCTATAATTTATATATATATATAAGAACTTTATTTTTGAAAATAAAAAATATTTATTTTCAAATAATATTTCTAATATATGCAACCTTACATAATATTTTTTTTTAATCAATTTTATATGTTTATCTATTTTTAATATCATTTGATTGAATAAAAAATTAATTTTAATAAATTAATTCAATAAACACAACTGGGTAAATGTTCCATCTTATAAGATTAAATATTTTTATCTATACCAGTCTTTTGATTTTTCTAGTTTTATTTTTAGTTATCATTAATATTTTTTTTTTCCATTTATTAACATAAATAGTTCTCTATTTATTTGATTACATGTATGCATGAGCTTTTCAGTTTATGCTAAGAAATTTTTTATATACAAAAATGCATCAAAAAAGCCTGCACACACAATGTTTTTTGTAAGAGAAAAAAACATATGGCCCACCAGGGAATGCAAGTCAAATGGCTAGTCATTTAACTAAAGAATGTTATTGGCAGCACATACAAATAACCAAGCATCCTTCTCAAATAAATAACTAGAATGAGAAGGCAAAGAAGACTTTCTTTCAAATGAAAAATGGTAATATAAAAGCACCTGTTCAATTTTGTTAAACTGCTCTCTTTTATCATCATCAAGAGCAACACCATTAAGAACCGCTTCCTTTATTTGGGCTGTATTCACAAAAATACAGAAGCCATCAGGCATGTAAGAAAGCTTAGGTGTAGTTTTAAATGATTATGTCAAACCAATTAAATAGGAAGCAAGGACATTGCAAATGATATAGCATTTATCTGGTAAGCAATACCCCAAGTGCAAGACAGAGTTAACTAGTTGATAAATAGTAATCTGAATTTTGTTGAAAAGTACATCTAGTAATTGGAGTTCAATGAAGCCAACATGTGAACACAAGTTCATGAAATAGGCAACCATTAAAAGCACTCTCCATGTCCATTCAAATCACAAGTGAGCAATGTCAGTGGAGATAAAAACAATTAACATGATGTATAATTTTATTTTCTTCCTCCTTCCATGTTTCAAATCCATGCAATCATTCTCAGAAATCTGCATAATCCCAGTACATTTATTCAGTTTACAGGTACATGCTGCCACAAAATTGCATCTTGTGGCCTTAGAGGTATAGAACATCTCTATTTGTTGATATCAACAGCTAACGCATGCTCATTTCTTTCGTTCTCTGATTGCCATGCCCCCAAAGACCAAGATAATCAAATAATTAAAGCTGCATCATATAAATTCAGCAAACCAATGAAACTGCTAGACTAAAGTCTCAAACTGACAAAATCCAGACAGCTAGAAAAAAATACAGAATTAGGTGGATGAAAAATGGAAGAGCAAATAATACTATTTCAGAAGATAAAAGAAGTTTAAGATACTTACATTCCACTATACGTTTCTGAGCATCACTTAGCGATGTCCATTGAGGAGATTCTTGGATGGCCTTAAATGCATCATATATCGGTTTACTTTGTCCCAACCTCAGCTCAAACTTGACTTTTTCGGGCTGTGGACAAAAGCTCAAAGCTGTGAGCACAAGAAGGGCAATACAGTGCACAAATTCATAAGACGGGCAATCAACAAATTAAAGCAGACAATGGTCTGATATCAAACTAACAAGAAAATTCATTTTTGTTTAGTTATTACACCCATTTTCCAAGTCAAGTCCCAACATAGATTAGCATTCATGGACATAAGCACGCAAACATGTGCGTCCAAGTGCATAGATTATGAGAAATAAACAATTTACCTGAACTTCTTCAATTGCAGCACGGAGTTCAGGTGAGTCTTTAACAGCCTTAAGATGATTGATCATACCCCAAACAATAGCCAACTGATCTGTTATCTTCTCCAATGGCTCCACCAATTTTGGCCATGATGGCTCCACTGTTCTCTCCAATTCCTCCAAATCACTCTCCTACAAAAACACGGTAAAAAAACAACCATCACAGACCAAAAAGTACCAAACTTTGATCAACCCATGAACTGAAATTAATAAAGATTTCTACATAATATTTAACACAAAACAAAACCCAGAAATCAAAACGGGAAAAAAAAACAAAATACAAGGTTCTTTAGGAGAGCACGAATCCCAGGTCGAACATGTTTATGTTCAACAACATCAAATGGAGGAAATTCAAAGTCTTGCAATAAAGGATTGAATTCATCAACGACAGTAGCCATTGAAATTGTAGGAGGGGGAGAGACTGAAGAAGAAGAGTAGCAAATAGAGATAGAGAGAAGGATTCGTGTTGATTTGTGAAGAGTTTGGAGACCCAAGGAGAGAAGAAAAACAAAGAGGGCAAGGACGAGATTTGAGAAAATGTTTGGGAGCAAAATGGGAGGAAGAGATGTTTTTTATGCGTTTAAGCCTTTAAGGATTAGGATTGGGTGGAATGAGCGGGAGAGGGAGGTAGGGGAAGCCATGATGACTCGGAAAAGCTTGATGTTGATTTGCTTACAAAGAGAGCTCCAATTCCATAATAGTATATGGGCTTTTCTATATGTTCTCCTTAGTAGTTTTTTTTTTTTAATTTTCCTTTGTATTTTCACAATTACTTTCATCTAGTAAAGGCCAAATTGATAAAAAAAATCCTGAGAAAGTCTAGAAAAAAATATTCCTTGAATAATTTATTTTTTGATTTCTACCATTGATTAATATGATTTTTTTTTCAAATATATCATTTATTAGGTTTTTACTAGTAAGATTGTTTATACTATAATGTAAATATTTATAAAAAAATATCAATGAATAGCAATGAAAAAACAATATCTTCTAGAAATTATAGATGATTGATGTATTATTGTGGTTTATTTAAAATAATATAAATTTTATGTTAGATTCAAATGATTTTGGATATGATAATTATTTCAGACTTGTAATACTTTTAATTTTATTATTCAAATCAAAAGTATGAGTTTTTTTCAATAATCATAATATCTTTTGTCAAATTTATTAATAATTATAATATTAATTATAATATTTATAATACTAATATTAAATATGCATGACTTAAGTTTACTTAAGTCTAGCAACTATGAAAGATCTTATTACTATTTTTTCAGTGATAATAATATTTTTAAAAAAATTTATTAATAATTATATAAATAATATTAAAAATAATAAAAATAATAATTAAAACAACAACAATAAGTTTACCCTTAAAATCAAATTTATAGTTTTTCTTCAATAATAATAATATTTGTTTAATATATTAATAAAAATAATGATGATGATAAAAATAACAATAAGAAGAAGAAGAATAACTATAACAATAATAATCATAATCATAATAATAACAACAACAACAACAATAATAACAATAATTATATCAAACTCAAGGTGTTTAGGTCTAGCAACATGTCTAATCCAAGTTTAATTAGGTTTTATAACATGCCTAATCTATGTTATTTGGGCTTAGAAAACATGTATGACTAAAGTTTACTCAGGGTGTGACAAACATATCTAACCCAAGTTTACTTAGATCTAGCAACATGTCAATCTCACGTTACTTGAGTTTGGAAAATATATTTAACTTAAGTAATAATTATAATGAAAATAATAATAATAATCATACTAAAAATAATAATTAAAAAAAAATAATAACAATAATAATCATACTAATAATAATAATTATTATTATTATAATAATAACAACAACAACAACAACAATAATAATAATAATAATAATAATAATAATAATCATTCGAATAATAATAATAACAACAATAACAATCATATTAGACCTAAGGTGCTTGGGTCTAACAACCATGTCTAACCCAAGTTAGTTGGGTATGACAAACATGTCAGACTCAAGTAGTAGTAGTAGTAGTAGTAATCATTCTAATAAAAATAATAAGAAAAAGAAGAAAAAGAAAAATAACAACAACGACAATAATAATAATAATCATTCTAACAATAACAGCAGCAGCAACAACAACAACAATAATAGGGCATGTTTGAAAGTGCGGTTGCGGTTGTTTTTCAAAGTGCCTTTTGTGCCGAAATGCATCAAAATAATTTTTTTATTTTTTAAAAATTACTTTTTAGATCAACATATCAAAATAATCCAAAACATAAAAAAAATTAATTTTTCACAAAAAAAATTAATTTTTTTGGAAATGTAGTACAATCACAAGTTTAGTTGGGTCTAGTAATATACTTGATCCACGATACTTGGATCTAACAAACATGTTTGTCCCAAATAAGAATAATAATAAGAATAAGAATAAGAATCATAATAACAACAAGAACCATAACAGACCTAAGGTGCTTAGATCTGACAATCATGTCTAACCCAAGTTTAGTTGAGTATGCAGTATGCCCAATCCATATTACTTAGGTCTGGTAAATATGCATGACCCATGTTTATTTAGGGTGGAGTAAATATGTCTTACCCTAGTAATAATAATGACAAAAATAATTATACTGATAATAACAACAACAATAATAATAGTAAGAGTAAAAGTAAGAATAAAAATCATACTAATAACACTGAAAGTAAAAAAAATGATAATGATGATGAGAACAACAACAATCACCTTGTTAGATCTAAGGTGCTTGGATCTTACAATCATGCTTGACTCAAGTTTAGTTGGGTCTAGCAACATACCTGACCTATCATATTTAAGACTAGAAACATACTTGACTCGTAACATTTAAGTTATACTAGTAACAAAAAAAAAAATAACAATAATCATAATACTAATAACAATGCTTAACCCAAGTTTAGTTAGGTTTAATAATTATACCCGATCCACGTTACTTCTTCTTTGAAAAAATGTCTAACCTAAATTTATTTGAGTCTAACAAACATGTCAAGCCCAATTAATAATAATAATGATGACGATGATGATAACAATAACAACAATAATAACCATGTCAGATCTAAGGTGATTAAGTTTGATAAGCATGTTTGACTCAAGTTTAGTTGGGTTTAGTAACATGTCTGACCCACGATACTTGAGTTTAACAAACATGTCTGATCTAAGTAATAATAATAACAATAAAAATAACAACAATAATAAAAATCATTATGATAACAATAGCAGCAATAACAATAATCATGTCAGACTTAAGATGCTTGAATCTGTTAACTATGCCTGACTCACATTACTTGGGTTTGAAAAATATACCTGAATCAAGTTTACTTAAGGTATGATAAATATATTTGACCCAAACAACAACAACAACAACAATAATAGTCATCATCATTATCATCATCATCATACTAATAAGAATAAAAACAACAACAACAACAATACTAACAACAATAGTAGTGAGAACAATAATAATACTAACAATAACAACAACAACAATAATGATAACAATAACAACAACAATAATAAAAATCATTATAATAATACTAACAACAACAATCATACTAGACATAAGATGTTTGGGTTTGGCAATCATGTCTAAACCATATTACTTAGGTCTGGAAAACAAGTCTAATCCATGTTTATTCTTTTCTTTCCTCTTATAATAGAAAAAAATAGCAAAATACAGAATCAAATATTAAGATTTATTTTTAATTTAATATTATCTTTAATAACAACTATCATCAAAATTCAAATTAAATCAATAATAATTGAAGATGAGTTGTGTTTTTTCTTTTCTTTTCTTTTTTTATATTATAAGTTGCTAAGAAAAATAGAGGAATTGAGAGGATTTTCATGTTTTTTTTTCCATCAAATTAATTTTTTTAGGGTTAATTTTTACAAAATATAATGTTGTTTGGGATGGAAAATAATAATAAAAATTGTTTAAAGAGTGTTTGTTTTTTAAATAAAGTTCAAGGTCTTTTTCCAATTTAATTTTGGGTAAATAGATATCATTAGTCTTTTCAGTTTTTAATAACTAATTAACTAGCTCCTCTAGTCTTAACAAGCATAAAATAGTTTTGATGTTAATTTATTGTCACATTAGTTAGTTTGTTTACTTTTTACATTTTAGTATTTAGTAAATAGATATTACTATATTGGTGGCTTGTATTATAACATGGATTGATCAAAAAAAATCTCAAAATAAAAATATAATGCTTAGGTCACAATAATGTTTTTAAAGAGATAAAAAAAATTCAAGAGTCAAATGTTTAACTTTATTGAATTCAATAAACTTAATTAATTTAATAATATAATAAAAAAATAACAATAATAGATAAATTGAACAAAAGAAATTAGCAAATGTCAACCCATGAAAACTACAATTAGACACATGGAATCAGGATAATTTCATAAAATGATGAAATTAAAAAAAATTATAAAAAAAAGACTTTAGTAAACTTGAGCTAACCTTTCAAAATCAAATTCTATGGCCATAATTATTTTATAGAAAGAAAACCTGAAAAAATCATGAAATTAAATTTTCAATTAACAAAATTTCAATTAACAAAATGCCTATGGGATGAGATTGAAAAGGAAAGTTTTAATAGAAAAAGATTTAAAATAAAATAATTGCAATTAAAATAACAATGATCAAATTTGAGATAAAAATAAAATAAAATAAAATGTTGAGGGATGCAATTTAAAAAAAATCAATTAAGAAAATAATTTAACAAATAACAATTAAAAAAATGAGGTAATATTTGATAAATAAGAAAAACAAGAATGTTTAAATTTAAAGAAAATTCCAATTCTATAAATTATTTAAAATAAAAAATATATTAATAAAATAAACATGGAACAAATCTTAAAAAAAAACAAGTTAAATGATTATTTTAAAAATCTGCAAGATCAGCGTGAAAATCAAAAGTGAGAAAATAAAAAAAAAATATTACTGTTAAATCAAAGGTAAATATCAATGTGAAAGTCAATGTTTAGCCTTTAGACGAAGTTGTAAATGTTTTCTAAAAAGAACATAAACAACCAAGCATGTCAGCAAAAACATCACACACCATCCATTTTTTAATATTAAATAATATTATATATTTATTAAAATATCAAATTACAAATGACCCAACTCAATAATAAAAAAAACTCTTATAGCAGTGTATCTAGTTACAAACTTTCATATAATAACATCAGAAAAATTATGTGTATTGAAAATATTTCTTTCTAATTGTAATCTTGATTACAAGTTTTGATAAAAAAAAATTTTTATTTTTTTAATTAGATAAGTGTTGTTAGGAAACTAGTGTTCTAAAATTTTGTTTTTATTTTTCTATTTAGTATTAAGGCTTATAGTTTTCTTATTTGAAAGTTGTAATTTGAGACATTGTTTAATATAATTTGGATGATATTGGAGTTTTTCTATAATTATCACTATGTTTTTTATTTGGGGAGTTTTAAAAAATCAAGGAGGTTATTCCACTATGATATCACCATTTCAATCTTTTTCAATATATATACAGACATTTTCCTTTATTTTCTTTTCAAGAAAGAGAATGAATATAAAAAATAAATAAAACTTGTA